GTAGTATCATATGTCTAGAGGGTCACATCTCTTGGTGATGTGTATAGTACCAGTTGAGTATCCCTTATCTGAAATGCCTGGAACTAGAAGTGTTTTGGATTTTGGATTTTTTCAGACTTTGGAATATTTGTATTTGGTTGAGTATCCCCAGTCTAAGAATCTGAAGTCCCAAATGCTCTAGTGAGCAATTTGCTTTGAGTGTCATTTCAGTGCTCAAAAAGTTTCAGATTTTAGACATTTCAGTTTCGAATTTTCAGATTAGGGCCACTCAACCTGCAATATCACTAAGAATATCCTGGGAAGGTCTGCCTATTGATAGTCAGATTGCTGTCACTCATCTATATCTCACTAAAATTCAAAGCTCCACAAATTTAAGGACCATGTGTTATTCATCTGTTGTTAAAGATACCAAACTGCTGTGGAGTTTGATTAGTTCAGGTCCTGATAGTTATCACACCCTCTGTTGTTCTTCACCTATTTATGTTTCACAAAAGTCCCCTGGAATTTAAGTATTAATATTTGATTGTTTTTAACTTTCTCATGAGAGTCTTGAGAGCATGAACCGTAATTGTCCTTGTATTTTCACCCTTCAAAGTCATAACATTACCAGAAATCTTGTACATCTTATGATGGAGTAGCAAATTATCCACATTACTCCTGTGCCATATCTTAACTTTGAATTTGTTACTCAATCCAAATCATGCTCTGGTGTATAGGCTTTAAATCCTTTATGGCATAAACAGTTCTCATCAGTATTTCCTCCCCAGACAGACTAGCCAAGTAAGTTGTAAATACATTAGACTTTAAATACAGTTCTGAGTTTCTGTCTTGGTGGACTGACCCGTTGTTGACCTCAGGAACCACTCCTGCTCCCGTTCTGTTCCACTTTTATCAACACCGTAAGACTGGACTTAATGTAGAAATCTCATCATTATTCCTTTTCACTATTATTTTAAAAATCACAGACCTATTATCTAGCCCATTTGAGTACTTCTCAATAA